TCTACCGCTGCCCCCACTACCACTCCCACTGCCACCTCCACCACCACCGCTGCCTCCTCCACTACCCCGGCCACCCTTGCCCTTGCTGTTGCGGCGCTTCGTACTAGTCGAAGCAGCACCGAGCTCCTCAGGAACACAGACGTCTGCAGCAGCAGCAGAGGCGAAGGAGGAGGAAAGGGGGGAGGGGGAGCACCCCTCAAAGAAGGGTGAGCGCGGAGTGCCACGAGCAGCACCTACAGTAATTGCACTAGTCTCGGCTGCGAGGAGATGCTGCTCGAGGAGGTCAACAGTGAGGGAGGTGGGGTCGAGGGTGAGGAAGTGGTCCCTGACAGAGCGAAGGGAGTCAGGGAGGCGAGTAACTATGAAGTAGAGGGTGATGAACATGGGGGGCTGGTTCGTGGGAAGGAACTCAGCAGGGACGGCAGCGCGGTAGCGAGCGTCACTAGTGCGCAGGTGGGTAACCAGGTCGGCTACTGTGGCAAAAGCCGACAGCTCAGGGAACAGGTAGGGCAGTAGCAGCCTGCCAATACCAGCAGTGGCAGGGGAGGAGTAGCGAGCAACGACAGCGTCGTACAAGGCCTGTGCTGTCCTGTGCTCGCCAAAGTGAGCACATTCGGTCGCGGGCAGGTGGTTGCGAATGGCCAAGCAGACAGTAGCGTCACGAGACAGCCACTGGGAACGAGTCGAAACGTCAGCTGTGGCGGGAGGAGCTGGAGCGGCACCGGACACGTGGTCAAACAGTGAGACACTGTCCTTACTATCGCTCAGTAGGTACAGTTGCAGATCGTCGTGCCACGTGTCAAATGCTACAGGTCTGCCCTCCGGGTCGAACGGGAGATCTCTAAGCGACGCCATAGTGGCACAGGACTCAGGAGCAGCAGTAGCAGTGGCGACGGGCGGAGCGGAGGGGCCTAGGGGCCGAGGGGCCAAACAAGAGGGCTGAGGGGCCGAGGAGCCTAGGGGGGGGAGGGGGGGGGGGCGAGAGGCCTAGGGGGCCGAGGGGCCAAACAAGAGGGGCGAGTGGTGGGGCCGAGGGGCCAAACAAGGGGCCGGAGGGCCTAGGGGGGCCGAGGGTCCTAGGGGGCTGAGGGGCCAAACAAGGGGCCGGGTGGCCGGGGGGTCCTAGGGGGCCGAGGGGCCAAACACATGGGGCTGAGTGGCGGGGCCGAGGGGCCAAACAAGGGGCCGGGCGCAGGGCTCTGAGTTGGGGCCGAGGGGCCTAGGGGCCGCGGGGTCAAACAAGGGGCCGGGGGGGCCTAGGGGGGCCGAGGGGCCAAACACACGGGGCCGAAGGGCGGGGCCGAGGGGCCAAACAAGGGGCCGGGCGCAGGGCTCTGAGTTGGGGCCGAGGGACCTAGGGGCCGCAGGGCCAAACAAGGGGCCGGGGGGGCCTAAGGGGGGCCGAGGGGCCAAACACACGGGGCCGAGGGGCGGGGCCGAGGGGCCAAACAAGGGGTCGGGCGCAGGGCTCTGAGTTGGGGCCGAGGGGCCTAGAGGCCGCGGGGCCAAACAAGGGGCCGGGGGGGCCTAAGGAGGGCCGAAGGGCCAAACACACATGGCCGAGGGGCTGGGGCGAGGGGCCAAACAAGGGGGCCGGGCGCAGGGCAAGGTACGGGGCCGGGCGCGGGCTAGGTACGGGACCGGGCGCTGGGCAGGTACGGGACCGGGTGCTGGCCTCTGTATTGGGGCCGAGGGGCCTAGGGGCCGAGGGGCCAAACAAGGGGCCGGGGGGCCTAGGGGGGGCCAAGGGGCCAAACACACGAGGCCGGGCGCAGGGCTAGGTACGGGGCCGGGCGCGGGTTAGGAACGGGGCCGGGCGCTGGGCAGGTACGGGGCCGGGCGCTGGGCCTAAATGTGGGCCGAGGGGCCTAGGGGGGGGGCCGAGGGGCCAAACACACGGGGCCGAGGGGCCAAACAAGGGGCCGGGCGTGGGTGTTGACGGGCCGGGGCTAGGTACGGGGCCGGGCGCTAGGCGAGGGACTGGGCCGGGCGCGGGCGTCGACTGGCGCGGGCTAGGGAAGAGGGGCCGGGCGCGGAGCTAGGTACGGGGCCGGGCGCTGGGCTAGGAACGAGGCCTAGCGCGGGCTAGGTACGGGGCCGGGCGCGGGTGTCGACGGGGTGCGGCTAGGTACGGGGCCCGGGCACGGGTGTCCACAGGGCGCGGGCTAGGTAAGGGGCCGGGTCGCGGGCTAGGTACGGGCTGGTCGCGGGCGTCGACGGGGCGCAGGCTAGGAACGGGGCCGGGCGCGGGTGTCGACGGCGCGATCGCGGGCTAGGGGCACGGGCGTGAGACAGGGCCGAGCGCGGGCTAGGTACGGGCCTATCGCGGGCTAGGTACGGGCCAGGCGCGGGCAGGAGACTGGGCCGGGCGCAGGCTAGGTACAGGCCTATCGCGGGCGTGGTACGGGCGGGGCGCGGGGCTAGGAACGAAATAGCAGGTGGTGGGCCCAATAGTAACCTACTCTAATACCATATTAGAGAGTAGCGAGAATGACGAGAATGATGATTAGGAAAGAGGGGGGGGGTACAAGTAGAATGTCGAGAAGAATTGTGTACCCCCTAAAGCTAGCCCCCATACACCCTAGATGCAACTAAGCCTAGATACAACTAAGCATATATGTTTGACACCCGACCTTCAGCCGGCGAAGGTGGAATGATTGGGTGGAATCGGGACATAAGTGAGGGATCTACAGAGTTGTTACTAGAGACGATGAAAACATGTTTGGATTATTACGGATGTACGCTCACCGTTAAGCGTTGTTGTATGTTAACTTCGGACCAGAGCAGGCCTGAATCTGCCTGGCATAGTCCCAAGGGGCATTGAAAGGCGCTGCACGGATGAAGTTGCCGAATTTACGCCAAAGGCACTTCCTCTTACGCCCCATTTCCGGCCACCATCGCCCCCGGCAGACACGGTCGCAAGTGTGCTCCGTGGGATCGGACAGCTGTACGATTTGCCACGGCCTGTTTCGCTGTATGCGAGCATAGCTGCACCGACAGGGACAGTCCGGCTCCAAACCAAGCTTCTGACTCTTGCACAAGGCAAGCGCCGATGCCCTCCTGGTAGACTTCATGTAGAAACCGTATCGATGCACCACCGCATCATCAAGTAAGGCAAAAAGGCAATGATCTCGCGAGGAGTACCAGTTACCCTCACGAATGGCAGCATTATCATTGATAGTAGGCCCCTCCTCAGGCTCAAACTCTACGTCAAACTGCTCTAGAATGATGTCATACATATCACGCCCTCTAAGCGGTGGTTCCGCCATTGTGCTTCTGCCACTACAGCTATGTTATGTTGGAAACAAGTGATTTATAGCGCTTCTGTCGTATCGAAGCTGAGACACAAAACGGAACTGACTACAGCGAAGAAACACGCGAGTCAACTGTCGGAGGTTACGCGAAGGTCAAAGGTCCCCGACCTTTGACCTGACGAAATGCACAGTGCGACAGCAAGGACACATAACTGACTCGTTACAGAGCAGTTACCCGAGTCGGCACTGTATCGAACCGCAACAGCAAAACAGTTAAAGTAGAACTTTTCATATTCCTTGTAATCATATAAAAGGCCTGTATCTCTTTGCTATTATCAACTTATCTTGTTCTCACAAATCAGCACAAGGTGGTTCACATCAACTCTTCACTAAAGACTTCCGCTGTTACAACTCTACATCAACACCCGATCTTAGTCCTGAAAAAGTTGCTAAGGGCTATTTCTCAGCCTAACATGTTAGCCCATCGCAATATGTAGGTGGTAATCCAAGCCCAGGAATTTTTGGGATGCGACGTGAAGGCTGGTTTGAACGACATATTGAACGACATTTGGTGTTGGTGCAGAGTGGACTCAAAATCCATGACAGTTTGGATCACAGCTACGAACAACAACAAATCACCTATCAGACCCAGTTGGCAGCATCTTGGGGGTGTTTGTGACCATGGCGTTTCGTCAGAAATCGCGGTGACAAAATTGTGTTCAGAGCGTTGGCGCGTTTATTAACATGAAATGAACACAACTGAACAAATCAAAACATGACATGTGGCATACCAATTCAAATATGGCGCGATAAACATATATAAACACGGACCTGTCACTAACAGGCGAAAGCAACGCCAACTCACCAAGTCTGAAGCGGTCCAGCATGACGTGTCTGTCGTTCTGAACACGCACGTGGAAGCGTGTTCAGAACGACAGTATATAACCGAGGCGCCCGACACGCCTATCATTTGAATTTGGTGCGGAAGGCTTACGTTTTCTGCACACACGCCCAACACCCACAACCACATGGTTAAATAGCTCTCACCAATCGAGTCTCGACACGTTCAACCCCACGAGCCTCCACTCTCTGAAACTTGAACCGAAACACGCTGACGAACCTGTTCACGCTCGAGCTTGGCTGAACCTGCATCCCACACTGTCAGGGACGAAATGACCAATCGGTTGACACTGCGTGGCGGTGAAGTTCCACGTCAACCAGCGAACTGCCCACCGACAAAACGGAAACAAAAAAAAAACAACCATAAAAGTGTTTATATAAAGCGAAATGACGCGAGCGCGAAACGCGCGGGATAAAAGGTGGATTGCATGAGTTTCGGGTTTTTGAAAACTTTTAGCGTGATATAAAATTTTCACGAAACCAAAGCCCATGCCGCGGTAATTCTCTCGAAGGTCAGCGGTAGTGACTTCAAATGTCGCAGCGACAGTTAGCCGGCCCAGCAGCAAGCAGCAACGCGGACTACCGCCTGACAGTCTTCCCGCCAAGTGACAGGCACAACTGGCTGTGCGAAGTGGTCACTGTAAGCGCGAGTCCGAGTTACAGTCGCTCTCCGAGTACAAAGCTGCTGCGACATCAGCCTTAAACTCGTCTTTTCACAGCAATCTCATTTACGGACTTCAAACGTTGCTATCCTGAAGCAACTGTCCCCACTCGGCAGCACTCTCACGAGCGCGTCACGACGGCAGCCTGGCCCGCACGACCCAACGTGGCGTTGACGTGTCAGCCATGACCGTCCATCATGCAACGGCGCTACTCGTAGCGGCCATGGCGGCTCTTCTCCTTTGCCCCGCAGCTCTGCCAGCGGCAGCGGCCGCACCCACCATGTTCCGCTCTTCCCGCCGCCTCACAACCTCCCCGAGACTCGGCCTGTTCGGCCTTCCGCAATCGTGGTTTCGCGGCGGAGCGACCGCCGGTGCGCAGCACGATCGCTCGCTGATCGAGCAGGCCGAAGGAAGCGCGGGCGCAGGTGGCGCAGGCGTGGGACAAGGACCCCCCGACGCCAGTGCCGGCGCAGTTGGCGCAGGCGGTGCAAATGGCGCAGGCGAAGCACTGGCCAACGGCGGAGGCAGCGGAGCAACAGACCAAGGCCCCACCGGCGGCGCAGGCGGCGCAGGCAGCGCAGGCGCTCCCGCTAACCAAGGCCTCCCCGACACCGGCGCAGGCGGCGGACCCACTGGCGCCAGTGGCGCTGGTGGCGCAGGCCAAGGACACGCCAACACCGGCGCAGATGGAGCAGGCGTCGGCCAAGGACCCCCATCCGACGCAGGCGGAGCTGGCGGAGCGACAAACCAAGGGCCTACCGGCAATGCAGGTGGCGGGGGCGCCAACCAAGGACCCCCCGACGCTGGCGCAGGCTCCGGCGAAGGACCCGCTAACACCGGCAGCGGAGGCAGCGGAGAGAAGAAACAAGGGCCCACCGGCGCAGGCGCAGGCGAAGGCGCAGGCCCAGGCGCAGGCGCAGGAGAAGGAGCAGGCGCAGGAGCAGGAGCAGGCGCCCCCGGCGACCAAGCACCTGTGGACGCGGCCGGCCGCCCAGGCGCTAACCAAGGGCCCACCGACGCTACTCAGCCGGATGCCGCCGTGGCGCATGGCGGAAATCGCGCGGAGCCTTCGTCGGGAGTGCGCATGCGGGACTTGGTGGTGTGGCGGGCCGCCAGGTTCCAACTGAAGTCGCGCGAAGCCCAGGCGCACATGGCGGCCGGTAAGGCCAAGGTGGCCGAGGCGCATTTCCGCGCTTCGGCGCTGGAGAATGCAACGGACGGGGAGGCTTGGTCCGGGCTGGCGCGCAGCTGCGTGGATCAGGTGAGGCGACCCCTTTCCGTTCAAGCTTGATGCTTCCAGATTCTGCTCCTTGGCATGGATGCCTTGCTCTACATGACAGTGCCGTCACAATGATTGTCGTGTTCTATGTGGCCCGTGCGTTCTAACGCTCGGAGCGCGGTGTGCGGTGTGGTGTGGCAGATGGCGCTGGTGGCGGAGAGCGTGGAGGAGGCAGCGGGGATGATATCGAGCGGCGGCGAGGACGTGAATCTGCCGCGCATCCACCTCTCCAACGCTGTCACGCTCGCGCTCGACTGCGCCGAGGGATTCGACCTCTTCGCGCCGGGCAGCTCCCGCGACCCGCGCGTCAACGCCCTCCAGGTGCGTGCCTCGCAGCCCCCTGCCGCCGCTGCTGCTTCTGCTCTGTGCACACGGCATATGACCGCTGTGCTATGAAGCAGCCATCATTTCGGCATGGCGCTGTCATGGTCGCCCAGATTGCCTCCTGGGAAAGCTCTTCCTGCCGTTCTCAAGTGCTTGTAAGGTACTCATGAAGTTGTACTCGCGGCTTTGGTTTGTGCAGGAAGCAGCGATGGACACGCGGGCGTCGGTGATGGAGGCGCTGGGGCGAGCAGCGGACATGGCGGTCATGATCGCAGCAGGCGACAGCGCTGCCGCTGCCGTGCCTTCGCCCTCGCCCACCCGCCGCCGCCTGCTGCAAGCCACCGCTGGCACAGGGACAGTCGGTGCCATCACGGTGGCCAATCCCCACAACTCCATCCCCGTAACCAGCACTACTGGCAATCCTGGTATCATGCCTGGCGGCGGCAGCCCCACCTCAGCCAACAACACTGCTGGGGTCCCTGGCGTGCCCTTCAACACCACTGGCTGGATGCACCCTGGCGGCCCCAGCCCTCCCCCTCCTCCTTCCCCCCCTCCTTCTCCGCCTCCTTCTCCGCCTCCCTCTCCCCCTCCTCCTTCTCCCCCCCCTCCTTCCCCTCCTCCTTCCCCCCCTCCCCCTTCGCCTCCCCCTCCGTCTCCCCCTCCGCCTTCCCCTCCCCCTCCTTCCCCTCCTCCCCCTTCCCCTCCCCCTCCCTCTCCACCTCCGTCTCCCCCTCCGCCTTCCCCTCCCCCTCCCTCCCCGCCTCCTCCCCCTCCATCCCCTCCCCCTTCCCCTCCTCCCTCCCCTCCGCCGCCTCCCCCACCGCCCGCACCGCGCATCACCCCCACGGTCACCGTGGCACAGGATGGTTCCGGGGACTTCCTCGCCGTGCAGGTGCGTGCGTGAGAGAGTGAGTGTTGCGAGGGTGTGCGTACGCTTGCAGGAAGGGGAATTCTCTCTCACAGTACTTGTATGCTCTCCTCGCCCTTACATTTCTGTGTGTGGGCCTTGTGTGTGCTCCTCTGGGGCGAGCAGGATGCGATTAATGCGTACCCGGTGGGGTTCAAGGGGCGTTACGTGGTGTTCATCCGGCCGGGCTTGTACCGTGAGAAGGTGTTGGTCAACTCCACCTGCAAGAACGTCACCCTCCTGGGGCTCACTTCCGCATCCACCATCATCTCCTGGAACGACAATGCCACTGTCGGCACCTTCCAGTCCGCCACTGCTGGTAGGCAACTGCGCACGCTCACACGCTCCCACGCTCCTCTCCTTCCTGCCTCGCCACCTACTCTGCATGTTGCTGGTTGTGCTTCCTCACCTGTGCCTCCACCTTCCTCTTGATTCCCTCTGTTGATGTGCTCCCCACCTGTGTAACTCCACCCCCCACCTTCCCCTTCTCCCTCCCCCCGCTCTCCCCCCTCAGCTGTGGAGGCGAGTGGCTTTGCAGCCATCGGCATTCGCTTTGAGAACACGGCGGGGAAGATAGGGAACCAGTCAGTGGCGTTCAGGCAGACGGGCGACAACGCCGCTTTCTACGAGTGCGAGTTCCTCGGCTGGCAGGACACACTCTACACGCATGGTGGGCGGCAGTACTACCGTAACTGCTACGTCAACGGGACGGTGGATTTCGTCTTTGGCAACGGCGCGGCTGTGCTGGACAACTGCACGTTTGTCATCCGCTCGCACTCCAAAGCGCCGCTCACGGCGTCGGGGCGAACCAACTACACGGAGAACACGGGCATCGTGATCCTCAACTCCGTCATCAAGGGCGACCTTGTCAACAAGACGTACCTCGGCCGCCCCTGGAAGCCCTATGCGCGAGTGGCTGTCATCAACACCACAATCAGCAACGTGGTACGTGCAGCTCTCCCCTCCTCCTCTTTTCCTCTTCGTTGTACAGTCACCTTTTCTGCCATGCCACGATCGTTGCACGTCCCCACCCATCGTCGCAACTATGCAATCGCTGTTTGTGTCCCCTTCCTCAGATTAATACAACTGGCTGGCTGGACTGGAATGGTGTAGTGTACAACACTACTACGTACATCGAGCAAGGCAACAGTGGCCCCGGGTCGGTGGGGCCGCGCATAGCGTGGGCACTGCCAGGCATCGTGACTGACCCTGCCCTGGTCGCCATGTACTACCCCAACAGCTTCCTCGCCCCCTTCTCCTCCATCGCCAACCTCATTCCCTTCCCCTGGCTCTAACTCCACTCAATCTGACCACGCCACTGCTACTCCTGTGCTTGAGGTTCTTACGTTCAGCGCCCTAAACAACAACTCTTTGGTAGTACCCCATAGCGGAGGAGCTTCTAAATTTCGGTGCACTGCACACCTGCTTAGTTCAAATTCATACCAAAATGTACGGTATGGCCCCGGATATAGGCGCCGTCCGATTAAAGGCGCCGGCGCTTATATATGGAGCATGGCGCTTATGGCCGAAACTCGATTATAAGCACCCCTCCTGTAATCCCTTTACTTATTATAAGCGCACTTACAGTTTTAATTTGAAATCTTGTTTAAAACAACAGCGAGTCTTTTTTTGCAGCGAGTCTTTTTTCAATTTCGCTTCGTTTGACTCGCGAAGACCTGACTGGCTGTGCGTCCAGTGACATGATGTGTCTTTGCCTGTGTGTGTTGGCAGAATACCACTAGCGCGCTATTCTGCTTTGTGACGCTCAAACATTTCGCCTCCGTTGAAATGGCAATAACAAAATGTACAATCTGGGGCTCTAAATACATATACCATATTATATTACCCCGGATAGTAGCGCATATGCGCTTATAATAAAATCAGTTTTTTGTTAAGGGGAGCGCTGATATTGAATATCGGTCATAAGCGCCGGCGCTTATATAATGACAAATACAGAAATAAAACTTCAACGTACCAAATTGTACACTTCAGTCTCGTAAGTTGAATCAAATCGAAATTTTACAAGGTCCAGAATCAGAATCTTGCGAGCAGGGCCTCAGATGTCAAGAATTTTACCCTGAATTCCTGAAGTTTGACCCCCGTTTTTTATCATGACCCTGATGTATCAGCCTTTTTTTTTCAACGACCCTGATGTTTCAGTGTTTTTTTTAATTCGAACTCTGATTTTCCAGTGTTTTGTGTTTGAGGACACTGACGAGTCAGTGTTGTATCAGGGGGTCTACCCTGAAACCGAAAACTCCTTATTTTGGCGCGCCGTCACCGTCAGGGCTCTCGATTGGTTTTGGGCCACCCTTTCTAATCAGGGTTCTAGGTAGTCCCAACCCTGACTCATAGGGTAAAAAAATTCGTTCCCTGACAAATACAGGGTAAAAAAACTAATAGTCTGTTTTGGCAGGGAACTCTTCTAGTGTTAAAATCTAAATAATATAAAGCATACAGTTTGTTAGTGGTTGCTCAGCTGGTGCGATTACCAATAGATCCATTAGGTCGCTTGTTCGACTCTTGCTGTTGGGGAGTATTTTGCAGGTGCTCGAATAGTGTTTCGTTTCGATACGGAGCATTCGGTGTTAGTGTAGTTGTGACGTACCCTGTACAGTCAGAGAATCAAATCCCTTACGCTGTTTTTCAAAGGGTAAAAAAAAACTTACACTTTTTGGCCTAGGGTAAAAATCCCACTACCCTTCCTGGAAAGGGTAACTGAAAAAAGCGGCCGCCAGTCAGGGCAATCAGGGTATTTTACCCTGATAACGAGAGCCCTGGTCACCGTGGACCGTGCACCAAGGGGATTTCTGGCGAAACATGCTCTGACAGGGCGCGCGAATCTGCTGTTGTGTCAGGGCAAATCTGCTGTGATTGGGCGAATTTGCTGTGCTGCGACAGCGCGTAACGAATGTGCGAGGTCGAATGCGCGTAACGATTTTTTTTTTTTTTTTTTATCGATTTTCAGTGGTGGGCCCTAGGAACAGTTCCCACTAGGGAACCTGCTCTATACCATGTGAAGAAATGAGGAATGAATGATGAACTAGAAAATGAGTTGGGTACAAATATGAAACCCTAGAAAGCTGTACCCCATACTGTCTACCCCACTACAGCCTAGAAAGACTATAGCATATAAGTTTGACACCAAGTCCGAATCATCAGTCAAGTCAGGGCTGACGATATCAGACTATTTTAGTCTGATTGTCTGAAATTTAGACTATTTTCCTGACATTCCTGATTTTTCAGAGTTGGCTGGTTTTGAAAAATGAGTGCTTCAGACTAATGGTTTTTTCGATACTGAAAAATTCAGAGAACTTGCTTACCGGATAATGAGTTTTCATACTACAGAGTACGAACTCCCCTTCGCCATACCTGTTACTTCGAGGAAAACCCATCCCTCCGAACTTGTGCAAAAGGTTCGTTAGTCTCTGAATTATAAAATTTTCAGAGTTATACTTCTCTGGTTCCTGAGAAATCAGAGTATTCACTTTTTGGAAAATGGGCCTCAGACTAAAAAAAATTGGGGGGCCAAAAAAATCAGAGTGGTTTTATTCGAAAAGTCAGCCCTGAGTCAAGTACACAACCAGAGATAAAAAACAATTGTTAACAATTGTCCTATTCGATTGGTCAGACAAGATTTCTGACCAATCAGACGCGGAAATAGCAAAATTCTGGCAGAATTTGGGAAGTGTAAAGTAAGGGCAGTCTGATTCGCTGTGTTATGACAACATACCAGTATAAGCAACTATGCTGATCAGTGTTGAAGTTTTAGAAACCCTGATTGATCAGCGTTTTATTTCTAACAACCCTGTAAAATCAGTGTTTCACATTAGACGACACTGAAAATCAGTGTTACCCTCCTAGAGACACTAGGGTACCCAAAAACCAATCTGAGGCCCTGCTCGCGAGGGCGATTTTTTTACGGTGCACAGAGCTTTGGCACGTCATTTTGCCCGCGTGCCAACTCAAACTGGATGCGCAACCAGTAGGTCCTCGAAAGTTAAACAAAGTGAAAATAGGGGTGTTGACTCGCTAGAAATTTTAAATTCGTTACCGTTTTAATCAGCATTGAAAAATAAAATTTTGCATGTGCTTATAATTGTTGAGATAATGGTTAGAATACTGACCAAATGAATGAAACAGAGAAGGTACAGGATTTTTTACCCTAGGCCAGAAAGTGTAAGTTTTTTTGTACCCTTTGAAAAACAGCGTGAGAAGATTTGAACAAGAATGAATGAACTATGAAATGAAGTGAGTACAAATATGAAACCCTAATTGGTTGTACCCCCTATGGGATACCCCACTATAGCCTACACAACAGCATAAGCTATAATGTTTGACACACCCCCATAGGCAAAGTGGGGGAGAACAAGGGGTCACAAGACCAGTCAAGCAAAGTAAAGCAAAGCAAGCTCAGGGTGGATCACAAAGTCACCACACAGTCCGAGCACAGGGTCAAGGCCACACGGCCAGTTCACATGCAAGAGTACACACATATATATAAAGCTAGACAAGCAAGAGCAGGTATACATATATGTGAGAGTACAGGCAAGGTCAAGAGGAGAGCAAGTGAGGCAAGACGGGCACAAGACCCAGCTGAGTGCAGAAGCGCTGATGATCACAAGGTGGAAGTGCCTTGGTGAAGACATCAGCAGTGTTGGCCTCAGAGGCCACGTACGCAAGCCGCAACTGACCACGTTGCTGTAGCTCACGAGCAAGGAAGTAGCGGAGAGCAATGTGCTTTGTTCTGTGCTCCAGTCGCTGCTCTCGACACAAGGCCAGCATGGCCTTGTTGTCTACGTACAGGACTGGAGGAGAACGAGGCGGCTCTCCAAGGTCGGTCAGCAGGTAGGTGAGCCAGCGAAGCTCCTGTGCAGCCATGGCCCCGGCGTAGATCTCAGCCTCACAACTCGAGCCAAGAACAGAAGACGAGCGAGTAGCCCGCCACGAAACAGAGCCGGAACCAAGGCTGAAGGTGTAACCCTGTGACGACCGCTGCGTAGCCTGGTCGTCAGCCCAAGAAGCGTCCGCGTGCCCAGTGAGGACCACTGGACTCCGCCCTCCAAGCACTAGCCCCATGCCCGACGTACTGCACAAGTAGCGCAACACCCTCTTCGCTGCAGCCATGTGCTCTGGTCTGTGTCTCCCAGGAGCAACATAGCGTGCCAGAATGCTAAGAGGGTATGCAAGCTCAGGTCGTGTGCAGGTCATCAGGTACATGAGGCAGCCAACAAGCTCTGGGTACGGGCCACTCGACTCTACGGACTCATCCGAAGGCAGAGCTGAGAGCGAGTGGCGAGTAGACAGAGGAGTGGCCTGAGGCGAGGAGTACGTGAAGCCGAAGCGCTGAAGGACCTGCTGCACCATGTGTGACTGAGTCAGGGTAATGGTGCGGCGTGCTCTGTCCCGGGTGATCTGCAAGCCAAGGTAGCTGCGCAGTTCACCTAGGTCTGTGCACGTGTGTCTCTTCTGCAGCTCGGACTTCACGTAGGCGAGTCCAGCAGTGTCAGCTGTGGCAAAGACCAAGTCGTCGACGTACACGAGGATGTAGAACGGCGGCAGAGAGGTGTCGGTGCGTAGAAACAGCGACGGGTCGGCAGTAGAAGGAGCAAACCCAAGAGCCGCAAGTGTAGTCCTCAGTGTGTCGTGCCACTCACGTGGCGCCTGGCGGAGACCGTAGACTGGACGCCGGAGACTCCACTGGGTACCAGAAGGGAAAGACCCAGTGAAGCCAGGTGGGCGACGCAGCCAGATCTCCTCGTGCAGGCTGCCCTGCAAGAAAGCTGTGCTGAAGTCAAGAGAGTGCAGCTCGTAGTCACGGTGAGCAGCAACGTGCAGCAGTACCCGAAGAGTGGTCATCTTCGGGGTGGGGGAGAAGGTCTGAAAGTAGTCAACTCCCTGCCGCTGACTGAAGCCACGAGCCACGTAACGCGCCTTGAAGACAGGCGGAGAACCCGGCGGCCGCTTCACCCTGAAGATCCACATGCCACTGACGATGTTCGCCCCAGGAGGGGGGACAGCGTCAACGTAGGTGCCTGTGGACTTCCAGGAAGCCATCTCTGCATCCATAGCTGCCTGCCACTGAGAGGAGTAGGGACCCTCTATCGCCTCCGCGTAAGAGCGCGGAGTCGGGATGTCAAGTGCATCCGGGTCTCCCTCAGGGGTAAGCAGTACGGACACGAGATGAGGTGAGGCAGCTGCCAGACACTGGAACTCCTCCTGCCTGTCCTCAAGGACGTCCGTGCCAAGGGCACACTCACCCCCGACGGACGGAGGACAGACAGACTCAGACTCA